TTTGTGCATATTAATTTTCGCCCGTTTCGTAGTACCTTCACTTCATATTAGTGGAGTTCTTCAGTATTCTAGATACATCCACCCACATCTTAAATATCTACTATTTGCATTGTTATTTGGAAATTATAATTGATTTCCCAACACCTTTTAATTGCCAAGTAGACATTTCTGTTTTCAGTAGTGATAACTTGTGTTTTATCTATTATTAACTTTTTGTTTTTGTTTAAATAAATTCTAGTACTTTTTCTTTTACCTTTTTCAGGTTTTGCATTACAACTTCTTTATATTTTTTTTAATTTAGAGAGATATCTTGAGATCAAATTATCATTTGTTCAGTTGTCTTGCAGATCACATCTATATTTTTCATCTGATCTTACTTTTGCACTTCTTTAATACTCAGACACACTAACTCACATTAGGATTTTGTTTAGTTTAGGTTTTTAACCATTTATTGTTTTGGTTCTCAATGTTTTTAAAAGTGTAATATTATCATATGTTCATATTTAGGGATGAAAATCAAGACCGACACACCTGTGGCCAAGAAAGCTCGAGAAGGGGTGATGGAATTTTTATTGATGAATCATCCATTAGATTGCCCAATTTGTGATCAGGGTGGAGAGTGTGATCTTCAGGATCAGTCAATGGCATTTGGCTCTGATCGTGGTCGGTTCACTGATATGAAGAGATCTGTGGTGGACAAAAATCTTGGACCATTGGTGAAGACTGTGATGACTCGGTGCATTCAATGTACAAGGTTCGTTTTTGGCTGCAAACTTGAAAACTATATCATACATTGGAAGTCCAGAAATTCATTGCGACTTTTCCCTTCTAAAAGCAATTATCAAGTGCTCTGATAATTTATATTAAAAGTATGTTTATATTTTTGATGCCTTGTAAGAATTAAGGACTTCCTTTAGGGGCCTAATTTTTTCTAAAATGAAGCAGTGCCATTGTTACCATATGATAGTTTGGGAGGGAACTTACGGGATAACTAAATAATTTATTTGTATTTGATTAAAATGATACTCTGGGGTGGTAATTTATTTCTGAGGGAACTTATAACTTATAAGCTAACTATATAATTTTTTTTGCATTTGATTAAAATGATACTCTAGGGTTGTAATTTAGTTTGACTGTATTTGTTACTTGATCTCATGTCATTTCTTTTAATTTCTGGTTACCGTCTGTAACATTAGGGGTGGGCAATTTTGTAAAACCCAATTTTCAATATTTGGGAGCCATGCTCTTTTTGTTGTCAATTAAATGCTATTTGTATTGTGAAACAATGTTATCTGAATGCCTTAAAGGATCTGGTGGAATGTCACTTTCTTCCCACAGGTGTGTTAGATTTGCATCAGAGGTTGCAGGAGTTCAGGATCTTGGCATGTTAGGTCGTGGCAGCGGAGAAGAGATTGGAACATATGTTGAAAAACTCATGACAAGTGAACTCTCTGGAAATGTAATAGATATCTGTCCTGTAGGAGCGCTCACTTCAAAACCTTTTGCATTTAAAGCCCGGAACTGGGAGTTGAAGGGTACAGAGACCATTGATGTTACTGATGCTGTTGGGTCCAATATTCGAATTGATAGCAGAGGACCTGAAGTCTTGCGTATTGTTCCTCGTTTGAATGAGGTTAGATTCTGATGGAAATGCTTTATTAAACTATTTGCAGTTGCCAAAGCTTTAAATTTCCTTGTTCTTAACATGATTTAACTTTTGCAAGAAAAACCAAAAATCATGGTACCAAGTTTTCTGGTTCTTACAAGGAGTGTTGTCTTCTGATTTCATAGTATGAATTTATTAGGGGAAAAAAATTATTTGTTTAGTTAATCTACAACAACAACCAAGCCTTATCCCACTAAGTGGGGTCGGCTACATGGATCAACTTTCGCCATAACGCTCCATGCTTCTATCCAAATCATTAATCTTGATATCTTTCTTAATAACTTCTCTTATAACTACATTTATGACTACAACTTATACAAATATATGCTTACCAAAAGATGATAACAATGAATTCTGGCCTTGATCTATTTATTTAGTTGTAGGCCTAATTTATTTGGCATTACAACACTAGTTTTGTTTTTTTATGAAGCATTACAGCAATATTGTTATGACACAAGCAAGTTGATTTTCAAACTTTATTTACTAACATCCTCTAAAACACATTATGCATGTTTGTAAAAGCTGATGTTCATTTTGTGTGTGGCAGATATCAATCTGATTACTTTCTATCATTAGAAATGATTCTATTGATGTGTGTTTTGAAATTTAAGTAGAAAAGACCATCAGTTAAGGACCAGAGCATCACAATAATTGTTATTATGGGACTAAAGGATCTGTCTGTGTAGTTATTCATTTTATTTCTAACTGAATAGTTGTATGTCCAAAAGAATTCATTAGTATTTTACTATACTTGTGATTCGAAGTCTTTGGTTATGGGCAGTTGCTTTATGGAGACCTTTCAGTTAACAAGTATTTCAATGTTATGGGAAGGGGGTATTTGAGGGAAAATAAGGTGGTTATACGTGTTATTGGGCCAATGGTCATGAATCATGGAGTAACTGTAGACTACATTATAAAGTGCAGACATGGATGTGTTTTTGCAGAGTTTTGGATCCTTTCACAATAGTTTTTCAAGATAGGGTCGTGTTGAAACTTGAGACAGCGAAGACCATGTGCACAAATTCCCACATCTCCTGTAAACGGCCTTGCAAAATTTACGCTTCAAATGTTTTTGGGCTTAACTTCATATACTTATTTCATTTGAAAAGCTCACTTTCATAGGGTCCTCATGTTTTGCGGTGAATCAACTTTTTATGAGTAACTAGTTGGGAGTCCCAATGAGGATTAATCTTTTAAGATCAAGGATTTGATTTATTGTTCTCCGGGTTAGGCAGATTGTTTCATAATTTAAGTTTTCTGAAAAAACTTGGTGCTGTTACTATGGAAGCTTTTTCATGTGCTTTACTCTTGGTGAAAGGAAAAGCTGGTTTTTATTTGTAGTTTGCTATTGACGTTTGTTCAACTTTCATGTTGCAGGACATAAATGAAGAATGGATTTCAGACAAAACCCGCTTCTGTTATGATGGTTTGAAGAGGCAGAGGTTAAATGACCCTATGATTCGTGGTCCTGATGGCCGCTTTAAGCCTGTGAACTGGGGCGATGCCCTAGCTGTGGTAGCAGAGGCTGCACATCAAGTTAAACCAGAAGAAATTGTTGGAATATCTGGCAAACTTTCTGATGCCGAGTCCATGATTGTTCTAAAAGATTTCTTAAACAGGATGGGGTCAAATAATGTGTGGGGTGAAGGCATTAGCGAAAATACTAATGCTGATCTGAGATCAGGATATATCATGAATACTAGCATTGCTGGTCTCGAGAAAGCAGATGCTTTCCTATTGGTTGGCACTCAGGTATATCTCTCTAATTCATTTTAGTGAGCAACTTCTCTAGTTTTATGTTTTGGTTAATCAATGATTCCTGTTATACCATTCCTTTCTAGCAATACATTTGGATTGCACTTGATTGATAACTGTTGTTTTGGAGATTCTAATCGAAGAGTATTTGACAACAACTCAATGGAAAATTATTGTTTTTCTTGATGAGCTCGCGCTGGTGTATTCTATGCATGCATATTTGTTGTCTGTTTGATTATCTTGTGTTTACTTCCAAATTTACAGCCACGGGTGGAAGCTGCTATGGTTAATGCCAGAATACGCAAGACTGTCACATCAAACCACGCCAAAGTAGGTTACGTTGGGCCTGCTACTGATTTCAACTATGATCACCAACATCTTGGTACTGGTCCTCAAACACTTGTTGAAATTGCTGAGGGTCGACACCCGTTTTCCAAGATTATTTCAAATGCCAAGCACCCTGTTATCATTGTCGGTGCTGGGATTTTTGAGAGGAAGGATCAGGATGCAATTTTTGCCGCTATTGAAACCATTGCAAAACAAGGGAATGTTGTCAGATCTGATTGGAATGGCCTTAATGTACTACTTCTCCATGCTGCCCAGGCTGCTGCACTTGACCTTGGACTTGTGCCCCAATCTGAAAAAAGCCTTGAATCTGCAAAGTTTGTATATTTGATGGGAGCTGATGATACAAACATAGACAAGATCCCAAAGGACGCTTTTGTTGTTTATCAAGGCCACCATGGTGATAAGAGTGTTTATCGTGCTGATGTCATTTTGCCAGCAGCAGCATTCAGTGAGAAGGAAGGTACCTATGAAAATACTGAAGGATGCACACAACAAACATGGCCTGCAGTTCCAACAGTTGGTGACTCCAGAGATGATTGGAAGATAATTCGAGCTCTGTCTGAGGTAGCAGGGGTGCGTTTACCCTATGATACAATCGGGGGTGTCCGCTCCCGATTGAGGAATGTAGCACCAAATCTTGCGCAAATGGATGAGAGAGAACCAGCCGCATTGCCATCTTCATTAAGACCAACCTTCACTCAGAAGGTGGATCCAACTCCATTTGGGGTTGCAGTTGAGAATTTCTATATGACTGATGCCATTACCAGGGCATCAAAGATAATGGCTCAATGCAGTGCTATGCTGTTGAAGAAATGAAGCATGTAATATTTATTTATTTTTGGTTCAAATAAAAATGCTGATTCATGTTCTTCTTTTTGTGGGCAATCAAGACCTTGCTTACGCAAAACTTGGGGACGTTCCCAAGTTGGAAGTACCCTATATTTCGAAATTAGGCTTTATTCGTTCCATTTGTATTATGCTGGTGTAAAAGCCACTACTCTTTTGATATGATATGTTGCCATGTACAATTTGGGCTACCTGACTGATTTTTAGTTTACTCGTCTCATAACATGAAACCTTGTTGGAAGCATAAACAATTTCAAACCACATCATTCAAATAATATAATTTGTCTGTTTACAATTTTATTAGCATTACATCATGCACATTAAAAACTTCACATAGGACTTGCTAATGATACCAACTAATTTGCATCCCCTGATGTTTTAGTAGTTACTTCTGCACCTTTGAGCAAGAAGCTATGCCGGACTCATTATATGAACGCTCCCAATTCTTCCCATCAAAATTCTTGACTTCATAGATTCTCAATGTTCCATGGTCAACACATCTGATTGTTACAGCAACCCCATCTGGGTTTGAACGTGGATAATAGAATGAAGTTATACCACATATTTTGCAAAATGTGTGCTTTGCAGTATGGGTGCCAAACGTGTAAGTTGTAAGAAACTCAGCAGAATCTCCCAAAAGCTTAAATTTGTCAGCAGGTACAGTGAAGTTAGCATTGCCTCTCATGTAGCAGATTGAGCAGTTGCAGTCCCACACCACCACACTGGAAGGAGCAGCCACTTTCCACCTTACACTCTTACAATGGCAACCTCCTGTATGCATCACTATTTCAGCTTCCATTTCAAGATTCTAAACAACAATGATCATCAATGAAGTCTTGGCTTCTGGCTCCTGTCAACTACAGTTTCTGAGATTGTTATGCATGAGACTCTATTAATGAAAGTTGAACTTGATACCATAAAGTAATTAAAAATAAGAGCAGAAGCTATGGAAGAAGCATAATGAAGTATTGTTAAGAAAAATAAAATGGTGAGAGGAAATAGAAAGGAAGTAACTCACCTGATGGGATCAGTGGAAATTAGATGAGGAAATACTAATTCAACTTTGCATTTTCATTTCTACTAGTATAATAACAATATAATAGTATATATAAAAACATTAATCTAGTACGTTTATTGACTCAAGTTTCAATATTTTTGGCATGTGACTGTCAGATTATGCACGGCTGAACTTATCACTGACAGATTGTTATAAAATACATGTTGTTTAAGCGGTATTTATTTTTGTTGATTTTAGATGAAAATGATTTGTGAATAAAAGTCACAAAAATGATAAATCACAACAACAACAGCATCCAGGCATTTGGAGATTCACAATGGTTTGTCCTTCCCTCAGCCGCTTCAATTCATGGCATCCCTCGAACTTTTACACGTGGAATGTGGAAGAAAGTACTATTATATATTTCAATGGGTAGTGGATATCCGTGCGTTTTTATTTTAAAGTATAATAAAAAAAAAAAATTATTTTACTAAAATTGTTTGTTATTTTTAATTTAAAAAAAAACAACATTGTTTTATATCAATAATTTTCTATATATTATCTTTAAAAATTTTATATCTTAAAATAAAAATAATTATAAAATAAAAATATTAGATACATAAATAATAAAAAAATAATACATTTTTAAATGTGTTAAGATTAATATATTATTTTCATTTTTATTTTTTTAATTGTATGAAAAATTTAATAATCTGTGCGTTTGCACGAATTTTAATATATCTTTGCGTTCTCACGAATTTTGATATAAATACATATGTATTTGTAAAAGTATTGATGTGTTATCCGTGCGTTTGCACAAATTTTATCTGAATTCATATTACACATTGCGATTTATCATTTTTAAAATTTATTTTTCAGTTTATTAATATTTACATAGGTAACACAACATTAAAAAACAAAGGTAAAATGAATATATCATTTAATAGCAAGTAGTTATTATAAACTTCAAAAATACTTATAACTCGTGTGTTTATAGCAATATTTATAACTTATTTTTGTTTACAAAAATAATTATATCAACAATAAATTTTATTTATAATTTTTTTAAATTTATTTTACTTTATAAAAATAATTGTATCCACTTTTTCTCATTTATAAAAAAATGTTTAATTTATTCTTATTTATAAAAATAATTGTATTAATAATAAACTTTTCCCGTTTTTAAAAACATTTATAACTTATTTCTGTTATTAAAAATAATTGTATTAATAATAGATTTTTTTTCTCGTTTATAAATACATCGCGATATCTAATTTGTCAATTTTGAAATTTATTATATAGTCAATTAATATTCACATAGATAATATAATATTCAAAAACAAAGATAACATAAATAAAAAATTTAATAATACATAGTTATTATTAATTTCAAAGCGCTTACAACCTGTATATGTTTATAAAAATATTTATAACTGATTTTTGTTTACAAAAATAATTGTATAAACTATAGATTTTACCATTTATAAAAATTTTATCCTTCTTATTTATTATTTCATTTTTTCATTCAAAATTTAAACCTAATAAATATAATTAAAAAAAATAATTAAAGATATTAATAACATTAATTTAAAACAGGAAAATAAAAAAGTATTTTATAAAAAAATAATAATATAGTGTTTATTTTTCATTTGGAATGATGTATTAGTATTTTTCCATAAAAAAATAATATTATAATCTCTAATAAATAATTTTACACTTTTATTTCGTTGCAATCTTAGTATTTATTTATACAATAAAAAATATTTATTGGTTCACTAATGCCACTTAAGGAACGCCAATGTCTCGATCATGTAGATACTTCATACCTGAAACGAATTCTCTTAAAGAAAAATTAAAACTTTAACAAATCAATATTTCAATAAAATATAATCAAACACAATACTATACATGGTAAATCTATAAACAATCTTACAGCACTTAAATTGATAACATATAATGACAATATAAAAATATCTACAAATATAAAATAAAAGTAATTAAAATATTCATATTTTTAATATGAAACATTAACGACTAAATCTTTATCAGATCTGTAAAAATGTCAATAAAATATTTTCAATTGATAAACCTCACGAAATCCACTTCACAAAATAATTAATGAAAATCTATAATTCTAATAGATTTTAATGTCTGAAAACAATATAAATTTTATTAATTGAATATCATAAAATTTATTTATACTATAAAAATCTTGATTGAATATTAAAAAAAATACAAAAAAAGGTTTTTAATTTGTTTTTTTTTTGAAATCTCATTAATATATCTAGTCATATTATTAAATAGTAAACAGTTATTTATATTTTAAATTTCACATTTTTCATTAAAATGAAGCAATTCAATAAGAAATGAAATAATTTAAAGGGTAGAGATTTCAAAAAATATTAAAAAGAGTCTTTTATTATAAAATATTTGATGGTATTCAATCAAAACTTTCATAAAATTCAAATATAGCTTTTGATATTTAATTAAGACAATTACAAAAAGATTTCAAGGAAACGAAATTTATTGGTATTCATTTGAGATTTCTAACCACTTATAAAAAGAATATCTTAATATTCAAAAATCATAATAGTTCTTTTGAAATATTTTTATTCAATCTCTGTCATCCATTGTATATTCGATATCATATATTAATGTAATCAACAGGATATCAAATATTAACACACTCCTTTTATTTAAAATAGAAGCAAAACTCATTTGACATGTGCATCGCCTATTGTAATATTTTATAGCCCAATATGAGCAGCGCCAATTATTACCAGATCTTCACCTGCACCTCTTTGTTGTCTCAATAACCGAATACCTTGATTGTAAGTTTTACTTGCAACATTTTTGTAAGAGAAGTGCAACTGTAGGGCTATCTTCTGCTTTTTGTTTCTTTCCTCATCTCTGTCATGTAGCTCTTCATATTTGACTTCTCCCATAAACTTTTTAGCACAATGTCTTTCTTTGTTACTTCATCTATTAATAACATGCACCAAATCAATAAATATTCAACAGGTTCAGAAGCCTAAAACCCTCAAGAAATATTAGCTAACGCTTAAAATTGATATTATCAAAAAAAAAAAATTGAAACTTTATCTCATTTGACTCATGTATAACTTGTAATTTTCAACTTATCACTACGCCATAACTGCTTTTAAGTAGCATACCTTAGACAACGCTTCTGTATAAACACACTATTATATATTTCAATAAAATTTTAAATTTTAAAATTATAGGCGCTTTAGAAAAAAACGCTGTCTAAAGTTAAGAAAAAACGCTGTCTAAGTCATAATTTAGGCAGTGTTAGAAAGCGTTGTCTAAGATCAATTAAAATTGAAATAAAATAAATAAATTCTAGAAAGCGCTGCCTAAATTCAAAGCGTTGTCATAAGCTCAAAACGCTGCTAAAGCCACACTTTAGGCAGCACTTTCTACTAGGGGTGTTCAAATCTAAACCAATCCAAATAAAAAACTGAAAGCTGATCCAAAAAATCGAAAGCCGCAAAAAACTGAAATTTATTGGATGTGCTTGAATGCCATTTTGCCAAAACTGATCTAAACCAAACCGAACCGCATACATATATTTTTATACTTATTTACTTTGTATTAGTATGATATGTTACATGAATTTATTATTAGATGATAATAGTTTTTTTTAATAGTATTTATTAGCTTGGTATAATCTATTTATTTTTGTTATTTCAACCATAATCGATTACTCTCATTTTGTAATATTAATTTTTAATATATTATATGTTATATATTATATCAAATCTATGATTTATTAGTAGTTTTATAATATTAATATAAATATAATGTGTAATTTGGATATCCAAAAATCGATCCAAATTAAACTGCATAAAATTAGATCGGATCAGATTGGATTTTTTTAATATATCATCTAAAACTGAACCGAACCGCAAATAAATTTATCTTTGGATCAGATGAGTTTTTTTCCTTAAAACTGATCCAAACCGAATTGCGAACACCCATACTTTCTACTACAAAATTTGTTTTAGGAAACACACTATGGAATCGAATCGCTTTTTTTCCAAAGCGCTGCTATAGCTTTAAATTTTTTTGAGGAAAAGCGCTGCTAAAGACTTACTTTAGAAAGCGCTTCTAAAAAGCGTTGCGTAAGGTCATACATTACCCACTTTAGAAAGTGCTTCTAGAAAGCGCTGCTAAAGAATGTGTTTAGAAAGCGCATCATATAAGCGCTGCTATAGGCCATACATCAGAAAACATTTTTTTTAATGAAAAAGCACTGCTAAAGGAAATACATCAGAAAGCGCTTCAAAAAGTGTCGTCTAAGGTCATTAATTTCTAATTTCTAAATTAAAAATACGAAAACCCTAAAACTCAGATTTTCCCCATATTCTCTTAAAACATCTTTCTCTGCAACTCTCGAATCTCTTGCCGGAAACTGCTATCACCTTCGTGTTACTTCATTATCTTTTCGATCAGCTTCAGACTGCACAACCTTCTCCACCTCTCCAGCTCTTCAATGATTAACACCTTCTCTTTCGTTGTGGTTTGCAATATCAAATGCTCTCCCCTGTTCAACAAGCTCAACAGTTTTCTCTTCCCTTCGACCTCTATTCAACTCAGTCGCTATCCTCATAAATTCCTCTCCACAAGCAACAACCCTAAGTCATCCGGAACAACTCCCTTCGTTTCAGTTCGACAATAAATCTCATCTTTAACTGTTCGGATAATTTTGATATTTCGGTAAGTTTCGATTTCTTTTGATTTGAGTTGTTGTCAAGTTTCTGTGATGAATAGCTGTTACAAAT